CTCCCTCCCCTCCCCACCTCCTCCCCTTCCCTTCCCTTCCTTCCCTCCTTTCCCTTCCCTTCCCTTCCCTCCCTTCCTTCCTCCCTTCTCTTCCCTTCCCTTCCTTCCTTCCCTTCCTTCCCTTCCCTTCCCTTCCTTCCCTTCCCTTCCCTTCCCTTCCCTTCCCTTCCCTTCCCTTCCCTTCCCTTCCTTTCCCTTCTCTTCCCTTCCCTTCCCTTCCCTTCCCTTCCCTTCTCTCTTTCTTTCTTTTCCTTCCTTCCTGAGGCAGGGGTCTCAGTATGTTGCCCTGGCTGGTCTCAAACTCCTAAGCTCAAGCAATCCTCATGCCTCTGCCTGGCCTACGCTTTCATTTCTGACACAGGCTAAGTGAAGACCTTAGCTTAGTCTGAGAGCCAAACGGGCCTGCCTAAAGTCAGAGTGGGGTGGACTCTCCCACCTGGTCACAGTCACACTGGCCCCAGGCAGGGGCTGGTCTAGGGTGGAGTAATGCAGAATAGATGCTGTCTGCAGGAAGCTCAATGCCTAAGAGGAAAGGCATTAATAGAAATATGTTATATATTCATGTTTTATGTATAAATTTAACGGCCGGGCACAGTGACTCACGCCTGTAATCCCAGCACTTTGGGAGGCCGAGGCAGGCGGATCACGAGGTCAAGAGAATGAGACCATCCTGGCCAACATGATGAAACCCCATTTCTACTAAAAATTACAAAAATTAGCTGGGCATGGTGGCGGGCACATGTAATCACAGCTACTCGGGAGGCTGAGGCAGGAGAATGGCTTGAACCTGGGAGACGGGGGTTGCAGTGAGCTGAGATCACGCCACTGCACTCCAGCCTGGTGACAGAGCGAGACTACATCTCAAAAAAATTAAATAAATAAAATGAATAAATAAATTTAACAGTTATATATATTTTTATAAGCTATATATTATATTTATAATGTATAAATATTTTATTAGTATGAATATAGTTTATATTAGATTTATAATATTTATTTTTCATTATATAGTTCTTCCCAAATGTATTAATCCAGTGAGTCATTCCACCTCTCCTAGGGCCCAGCCAGCAAAGGGGCAGACTCAAGGAGGAAAAGGGGAATGGGGAGCAAGCCTTCCCCTAACATTCAGCTACTCCATGTCTCTTATGTCTATTCTACAAACACTTTTATGCCACACTTGGGGCAGGGCGTTGCAATCAGTATAATGGTTCGGCAATGGACTTTGGAGCTGGACTACCCAGGTTTTGAATCTGACCTTCGCTACTTCGCAGTTCTGTGCCAAGTCCACACCTGCCTCCAGATTCTCATCTGAACAATGAGGAGGCTATCACCATATCGCCCTCAGGGGCTGGTCATGAAGATTAAATGAGTGGTCTTTATATGAATGTTTTACAGATAGACTCTGTAAATGTTGGTTATTACCTTTGCTATTAAATGAAAGGCCTTGAGTGCTTTTTTGTTTGTTTGTTTGTTTTGTTTTTTGTTTTTTGAGATAGGGTCTCACTCTGTTGCTCAGGCTGGAATATAGTGGCGAGATCTTGACTCACTGCAACCTTGACTTCCTGGGCTCAAGTGATCCTCCCACCTCAGCCTCCCAAGAAGCAGGGACCACAGGTGTGTACCACCACACCTGGATAATTGTGTTTATTTATTTTTTGTAGAGATGAGGATGTCTCACTATGTTGCCCAGGCTGGTCTCGAACTCCTGGGCTCAAGTGATCCTCCTGCTTTAGCCTCCCAAAGTGCTGGGATTATAGGCATGAGCCACCACACCTGGCCCATGAGGCTCACATCGGCCTCTCTTTTGAAGAGGGAAAAAGCAAAGTTCCAGCTCTCCAGGAAGAAAAAGGACCTCATGCCACCTTAAGTAAAGGAATTTAAATGACATGTCTGTGCCTCCATGGACAGCGGACAGCTGAGCTTCTCCAGGGCTGGAACCCAGCAGGCAGAAACAGAGGCTCCTGGGGCTGTGTGGTTTCCCATCTCTGGTCTCTGCATCTCTCTCTGAATCTTCTTCTTTTGTGTATTGATGGAGGAACTGCTCTGTGCTAGGTATGGAGCCAAGTGCTGGGTAGAGAGAGTGAATAATAAAATCTCTGCCCTGCAGGGACTGACAAACCAATGAGCAAGACAGACAATATGGAGAATCACATAAAACTCATCCGTGTTGCAGCATGGGTCAGGATTTTCTTCCTTGTTAAGGCTGAACGATGTCCCATGGCATGTATATAACATTTTATTTGTTGGGTCATCCGTTGATGGGCACTTGGGTGGCTTCCGCCTTCGGGCCATTGTGAATCACGGTGCTATGAACATGGGTGTACATTTAACCTTTTCCTTTTACAAGCGAAAAAAAAGTATGGTTAAGGAAAGTGGACTAAAAAGAGGCATAATAGAAGGATCTAACCTAGTAGGGGAAGAGAGGGAAGGTTTTCCCTTGAGGAAGTTCTATTTTGGCTGGAGCCCAAAGGATGAGAAGTTAGCTGGGTAAAAGGTAAGTGAAGATTAGTTTTGGCCACACATAAGAGGCTCGAGGCAAAAAGAAGCTGAGATTGTTCCAGAAATGGAAAGGGAACAGTGTGACCGGGGCACAGAGATCCATAAAGAGAGGGGCATGGGGGGGATCCCTGGGGTGGGCAGCACCCAGATTGGGGGGCCATGCGGGACTCATTACAAATGGGCTGTTTTCTAAGAGCTGTGGTAGACAACTAAAGCCCTCTAAGCAGAAAAGTGGAATGTCTAAATACAGAGTTAAAAAAAAAAGTTGCTCTGGCCACAGTGGAGGAATGAATTGGAAGCTGGAAGGAGGTGTGGGGCAGGAGCAAATGCAGGAAGACCAGTGAGGCACCATGGGAGTTGCCCAGGCAAGAGATACTGGTAGGGTGGGTGGCAGTGAAGATGACTGAAATTGATCCATCAAAGAAACATTAAGGAGACAGATTTAATTAATTTAATGATTGATTGGCTCTCAGGAGTAAGGGAGAAAGAGGTCTCTGGTTGACTCCCAGGTCTTTGAGCTGAGCAAGTGAGTAGGTGTTGGTATTACCTGCTGTGATAGGAAACAGTTAAGGAGACACGGACTGTAGGTGCATAGAAATTATTCACTGGGTTTTGGATATCACAAAGTTGAGATCCCAAATGACATGTGAGGTTATGGTGTTGCTGGGTAGACAGCATTGGACATGTGGCTTTCAGAAAAGAGGTCTTGTGTGACATGAGATACAGCTGGAAAGGTAGACTGGGCCATGTTTAAGATAATAATAGCACACCTGTAATTCCAGCACTTCAGGAGGCCAAGGTGGGCAGTTGCTTGAGCTCAGTAGTTCAAGACCAGCCTGGGGCAACATGGAAAATCCCCATCTCTACAAAAAATACCAAAATTAGCCAGGCATGGTGGTGTGCTCCCGTAGTCCCAGCTACCTGAGAGGCTGAGGCGGGAGGATTGCTTGAGCCCAGGAGTGGAGGTTGCAGTGGGCTGAGATAGCACCACTGCACTTTAGCCTGGGCAACAGAACAAGACCCTATTGCAAAAAGAAGGATTGAAGGAAGGAAGGAAGGAAGGAAGGAAGGAAGGAAGGAAGGAAGGTAGGAAGGAAGGAAGGAAGGTAGGAAGGAAGGAAGGAAGGAAGGAAGAAAGGAAGGAAGGAAGGAAGGAAAAGGAAGGGAAGGGAAGGGAAGGGAGAGATAACAGTAGCTGACATTCACCAAATCATCAATATGTGAGAGATATTATCATTTTTCATTTATAGATGGGGATGTTGAAACGTGGAGAGGCTGTGAAATTTACCCAAAGTCAAACAACTCATAAGTGGCAGTGTTGGGAATATAAACCCAGACAGACTGATTATTATGTCTCCTGTTGAACCATTTTGTGATCCTGGAATGCTAGAAGAGCAGGTCTGCCCAGCCTAACCTTTTCCTTTTACAAGTGAAAAAAAAAAAAAAATCATCAAGGCTAAATTGCTTGCCCAAGATCACCCCAGCTATTAATAGTTACGGCAGGTGTGAGGCTAGAATCCAAGTCTTCTGACTCTCAGTACATCCCTTTCTATCATACATTTAATTTCACGTCTTTTAGACTTCTTTTCCCAGATTCATTGTTTTTAGAGATGGAGTCTTGCTCTGTTGTCCAGGTTGGAGTACAGTGGCAAGGTCATAGCTCACGGCAGATGTGAACTCCTGAGCTTGAGTGATCCTCCTGCCTGCCTTCTGAGTACCTGGGACTACAGATGTGAGCCACCATGCCTGGTGCAGATATTATTACATCTGTAAAAATTTGCTTTTCTTTATTTTCTAAATTTTCAGTAGGGGACACGTATAATATTTATAGTGGAGAAAAAGAGACTTGCGAAAGTAGAGACATCAATATTAATATTAGAATTCATCTGACTTTGGTCTAAAGGAGGCATGTGGGGTGTCATGGGGGGAGGTCAGAAGACGGGATGGTATTGCCATATTTGTCTTTGATAATTTCTAGCAAGTGTTTCTGGGAAATTTCTACCACTGCAGGAACTCCATTCCTTAGGATGGAAAGGAGGAAACATCTCTTATTGTAGGGTAGCCTATGGAGGAGGTGACCAGGAGGTCTGTCTTCGGTCAAATCATTCTCCATGAAATCCCTAAAACCCACTCTCCTCCCCACTCCTCCCTTCCTCACCTACTCACTGGCCCACCTTGCCTGGAAATGGTGGAGGTGGAGGGAGAAGAACAGAGTTCCAGGGTTGTGGGAACAAGACATCCTTTTACTGTCAAGCAAAGCCAGTTCATTTAGATGGAGAGAGGTGCTCTAAGCAGTGTACATTTTTAAACAAAGATGCAAAAGAATGTAAGGATAAGAAGGAGCGAGCTTATCAAACCTGAATACACTTCTTCAGACTGTTCTCCCTCTAGCAGATGTCTTGGACCAAAGTAAAACAACGTAGATTCAAAAAATCAGTTTGATATAGTTATTTATCTTGAAAACTATTGAGATTGCTCCTTTTTGCCCTTTTTTCACCTACCTTGTCCAATTCATCAAGCTGTCTTCCACTTGTTATTCAAATAGGATATATTTAGTTTATTTATATCCCAAGTCATTCTAAAAAAAAAAAAAAAAAAAAAGTTGTTGTGGCTTACCAATAGATAAAAGCCCAGATAGTAAAAGCCAATTGTATAGGAATCAAAATAGGAAAAGAGTGGAGAAAATATTAGAAATCAAATGTTTATTCCAAGGGAGCCTGATGGCAGATCTGAAGGGATTTGATGGTCACGATGAAAAAAGAAACATGATAAACATCTCTCTTGAGCACAGAAACATTCTGAGTTTTTTTAAGGAAAATTAAGTTTTTCTTGGTACTAAACTTTGAAAGAAATTTCTCCTATTGTACATGGTAGAGAGATAGAATGGGTAATTCTTTGACAACAAGGTTTGGATCTCATTGGTGTCGAATCACAATTTTTTTTCAAAGAGAAATTCACACAACTGATTCTTGTGGTTTTTGTTTGTTTGTTTGATTGTTTTGTTTTTTGTTTGTTTGTTTTTGAGATGGAGCCTCGCTCTGTCACCCAGGCTAGAGTGCAGTGGTGCGATCTTGGCTCACTGCAACATCCGCCTCCCAAGTTCAAGCGATTCTCCCACCTCAGCCTTCCCAGTAGTTGGGATTACAGCCACTGTGCCCAGTTAATTTTTTTGTATTTTTAGTACAGACAGGATTTCACCATGTTGGCCAGGCTCGTCTCGAACTCCTGACCTCAAGTGATCTGCCTGCCTTGGCCTCCCAAAGGGCTGGGATTACAGGCGTGAGCCACAGCACCCAGTACAATTAATTCTTATAATGATTTTAGATAATAGTGGGAAACTGTAACACTGAACTTTAGCCCAGAGATGCTGATTCACAGTGGAGATTTGATCAGTTCCTGAAAGCACACTGGCTTACGCTTAGATTGGCAAGAACTTTTGGAAGCAAATCCTATTTTCTAACGTGTTAGTCATTCTTTCCACTTGCATCTTTGTTTGAAAATGTAAACAGTGTGTCATCAATGTTGTTATCTAAATCATTTTAATTTTTAACAGGAGGCAGTTTTGGGTGAATCCTGTGACATGCTTCTATAGACCTATCTCTATGCCTGTGATGATGATTAATAGAAGGAATTGGGATTATGATCATTCAGACACAAATCACTTCACTTAGCTCTCATCTGGTACATTTATTTATTGTTGTGTCTCTGTGTCTCTTTTGTTTTCTGTTTTTTTGTTTGTTTTTTGTTTTTTGGTTTTTTTTTGAGACGGAGTCTCGTTCTGTCGCCCAGGCTGGAGTGCAGTGGTGTGATCTCGGCTCACTGCAACCTCCACCTCCCGGGTTCATGCCATTCTCCTGCCTCAGCCTCCGGAGTAGCTGGGACTACAGGCACCCGCCACCACGCCCAGCTAATTTGGTTTTTGTATTTTTAGTAGAGATGGGTTTCACCGTGTTAGCCAGGATGGTCTCTATTTCCTGACCTCGTCATCCACCCGCCTCGGCCTCTTAAAAAGTGCTGGGATTACAGGTGTGAGCCACCGTGCCCGGCTGTTGTGTGTCTTTTCACAAGTGAGTCGACAAAGCATTTAGGAGATGCATCAAATAAAATGATAAAGTATAAATTAAAAATCAGGACAAAAAAAAAAAAAACAAATTAAATATGGAGTCAAGACCAGGGTGGATATAGGGTGAGGTTGGAGAGAATGAAGATATAAAGGCAATAAACTTCTACTATTGCTTTAAGTTGGCTGCAAACTGGCTTTGGGCTTTCTAGAGGGAAGGGGGCAAAGTTCACATTTTCCCCTCTGGTCTGAAAATGGTGAAGCCCCGTCTCTACTAAAAATACAAAAATTAGCCGGGTGTGGTGGCATGCGTCTGTAATCCCAGCAACTCGGAGGCTGAGGGAGGAGAATCACTGGAACCTGGGAGGCGGAGGTTGCAGTGAGTGAGCCAAGATCGCGCCACTGCGCTCCAGTCTGGGTGACAGATTAAGACTCCATCCCAAAAACAAACGAACAAGAAAAACAGAAAAGTCTCATTGAAACGTAACTGTATTATTATTCTAGTCTGTAGCCTGTTACCATCATGAAAAACTAAGCTGCTCTTTTTGACCCAGCAATAGCTCCCAGCGTCTTTCCCTTCTGTGTTGGTTCCTGAAGAAGAGGGGTTTAATTGGCTCACGGTTCTGCAGGCTGTAATGGAAGCATGGTGCCAGAATCCCCTGCAATTCTGGAGAGACCTCAGGGAGCTTTCACTCACGGCTGAAGGCCAAGCAGGAGCAGATATGTCACATGGTGAGAGAGGGAGCAAGAGAGAGAAAGGGGAGGTTCTAGACGGTTTTAAACAACCAGATCTCATGTGAAGTAACTGAAGGAGAACTCACTTATCGCCAAGGGGATGGTGCTAAGTCATTCTTGAGAAATCTGCCCCCATGATCCAATATCTGCCACCATGTCTACCTCTAACGTTGGGGATCACGTTTCAGCATGAGATTTGGAGGGGACACACATCCACACCGTATCAACTTCCATTTCTAAGAGCTCTTGGGGCATCTCTGCAGTGCTCTGTGCTTCTGTTCCATATTAGAACAGAACATTCTGCTTCTGTTTCTACCGTGGGCTTTCACTGCCCACTCAGAGTTCACTTCCCTCCTAACGTTGCTCTCCTGTGGCTTTGCCTCAGCATTGGCCTGATTCCACCCTTTTCAAATTTGTCCAACTCTACCAACTGGCTCAACTGGCTGTTTCCAAGAATGATCATGTCGTTGATTGGTCCAGGTCATCTTTTTATTTTTATTTTTCTTTTGCAGGGTCTCTCTCCATCATCCAGGCTGGAATGCAGTGGTGCATTCACAGCCCATTGCAGCCTCGACCTGCTGAATTCAAGTGATCCTCCCACCTCATCCTCCTGAGTAGCTGAGATTACAGGCATGCACCACCACCACTGGCTAATTTTTAAAATTTTTTTGCAGAGAAAATTTTTTTGCAGATCGAGTCTAACTGGGCGTTGCTCAGGCTCAGGTCATCCTTTATACCTGGCTTCTGTTACAAGTTGACTACCAGTCTGTGAGTCGGGTCCCATGGTGCAAAATGGAAGCTAAGGGATTGGGTGGGAATGTGAAGGGAGCTGTGATGAAACCAGTTTCTTTTGCAATGAAGTTTACATGGCAAGACATCATCTGTTCATCTGGGAGAGGGATTGGGCAGAGTGTGGGAAACCCCAGTTGCCCTCTTGCCTCTATTGCAATAAACAATTTTTGTCTTTCTGGAAAAAAACTTTTCTTCTTGGAGTTGCTGTCATTCTATTTGGAAGTATGTTAGGAGGTTTGGGGAGCTCTGCACTAAAAATATCCCTCCCCTTTTTTGAGACAGAGTTTTGCTCTTGTTGCTCCAGGCTAGAGTACAATGGCGTGATCTCTGCTCACCCGCCTCCCAGGTTCAAGCGATTCTCCTGCCTCAGCCTCCCCAGTAGCTGGGATTACAGGTGCCTGCCACCATGTCCAGCTAATTTTTGTATTTTTAGTAGAGACAGGGTTTCACCATGTTGCCCAGGCTGGTCTCGAACTCCCAGCCTCAGGTGATCCATCTGCCTCGGCCTCCCAAAGTGTTAGCTAGGATTACAGGCGTGAGCCACTGTGTCCGGCAATAACGTTTAAATGTACTAAACACACAGACTTCTGAATGTGTTTGGCTATAATAATAATCCCGCTGTAATTTCTATATTTCTTATGGTATTTCTTGTATCAGCTGTTAGAAGCAGTGCCATTGCTTTTACATCTTGCTACTCAGATTGAGGTTGGCTTGGGCCTCACCTGGCAGCCTGTTAGGAGTGCAGAATCTCAGCCTCACCCCAGAACTACTGCATCAGAAACTGTACTTTATTTATTTATTAAAATTTTAAAATTTTTAATTATTTTACAAATAAACATATTATTAATTTAATTTAATAAACTTATAATTTTTTTATACATTTAAATTTACTTTGCACTTTAATTTTAATAAATTTATAAATTTAAATTAATACATTTAATTAATTAAATTAGAAATTTACACCTCATACAAAAATTAACTCAAGATGGATTAAATACTTAAATGTAAAACCCAAAACCATAAAAACCCGAGAAGAAAACCTAGGCAATACCACTCAAGACATAGGCAAGGGCAAAGACTTCATGACTAAAATGTCAAAAGCAATTGCAAAAGCCAAAATTGACAAATATGTGTAATTAAACTAGAGCTCTACACGGCAAAATAACCATCACAAGAGTGAACAGGCAACCTATAGAAAGGAGAAAATTTTTGCAATTTACCCATCTGACTACAACTTCAAATCCAGAATTTACAAGAACTTAAACAAATGTACAAGAAAACAACCCATCAAGAGTGGGCAAAGGATATAAATAGACACTTCTCAGAAGAAGACATTTATGTGGCCAACAAACATGAAAAAAGCTCATCATCACTGATCATCAGAGAAATGAAAATTTTAAAACCACAGTGAAATAAACATCATGTCAGTCAGAATGGCAGTTATTAAAAGTCAGAAAATAGGCCGGGCGCGGTAGCCTGCTGTAATCCCAGCACTTGGGAGGCCGAGACGGGCGGATCACGAGGTCAGGAGATCGAGACCATCCTGACTAACATGGTGAAACTCCCGTCTCTACTAAAAATACAAAAAATCTGCTGTGCGAGGTGGCAGGCGCCTGTGGTCCCAGCTACTCGGGAGGCTGAGGCAGGAGAATGGCGTGAACCTGGGAGGCGGAGCTTGCAGTGAGCGAGATCCGGCCACTGCACTCCAGCGTCTGGGCGACAGAGCGAGACTCACTCAAAAAAAAAAAAAAAAAAAGTCAGAAAATGATAGATGTTGATGAGGCTGTGGAGAAACAGGAATGCTGTTGGTGGGACTGTAAATTAGTTCAACCATTATGAAGACAGTATGGCAATTCCTCAAGGATCTAGAACCAGAAATACCATTTAACCCAGCAATACAATTACTGGGTATATACCCAAAGGAATATAAATCATTCTGCTATAAAGACATATGCACACGTATGTTCATTGCAGCACTATTTATAATAACAAAGACATGGAACCAACCCAAATGCCCATCAATGCTAGACTGGATAAAGAAAATGTGGCACATATATACCATAGAATATTATGCAGCCATAAAAGTAATGAGATCATGTCCTTTGCAGGGACATGGATGAAGCTGGAAGCCAGTATCCTCAGCAAACTAACACAGGAACAGAAAACCAAATGCCACATGTTCTCACTTATAAGTGGGAGTTGAACACTGAGAGCACATGGACACAGAGAGGTAAACATCACACACCGGGTCCTGCTGGGGAGTGGGGGGTGAGGGGAGGGAACTCAGAGGATGGATCAATAGGTGCATGGCACACGTGATATTCGTAAAAAGCCTTGCATGTTCTACACATGTATCCTTTTTTTGTTTTGTTTGTTTGTTTGTTTGTTTTTCTTTTTTTTTGTTTTTTGTTTTTTTTTTGAGACGGAGTCTCGCTCTGTCGCCCAGGCTGGAGTGCAGTGGCCGGATCTCAGCTCAATGCAAGCTCCGCCTCCTGGGTTTACGCCATTCTCCTGCCTCAGCCTCCCGAGTAGCTGGGACTACAGGGCGCCGCCACCGCGCCCGGCTAGTTTTGTATTTTTTTAGTAGAGACGGGGTTTCACCATGTTAGCCAGGATGGTCTCGATCTCCTGACCTCGTGATCCGCCCGTCTCGGCCTCCCAAAGTGCTAGGATTACAGGCTTGAGCCACCGCGCCCGGCCTGTTTGTTTGTTTGTTTAGAAGAAGGAAAAAAAATAGAGACAAGGTGTTCATCTGACTTGAGACCAGCCATGTTGCCCAGGCTGGTCTCAAACTCATGGGCTCAAGCAGTCCTCCCAGCTTAGCCTCCCAAAGTGCTGGGATTACAGGCGTGAGCCACCATGTTCAGCCTGTTTATTTTTGAGAGAGGTTCTTGCTCTGTCACCAAGGCTGGAGTGCAGTGGCTCGATCATTGCTCACTGCATACTCAAGCTCCTGGGTACAAGCTATCTTCTCACCTCAACCTCCTGAGTAGCTAGGACTGCAGGCACACACCACAGCATCCGGCTCCTATTTTTGATTTTTTGTAGAAATGGAGGTTTCACTTTGTTGCCCAGACTGATCTCGAACTCCTGGCCTCAAGAAATCCTCCCGCCTCAGCCTCCCAAAATGCTGGGATTACATGCATGAGTCACTGCACCTAGCCTATTTATTTATTTTTGAGACAGTCTTGCTCTGTTGCCCAGGCTACAGTGCCATGGTGTGATCATAGCTCACTGCAACCTCAAACTCTCGGTCACAAGAGATCTTCTTACCTCAGCCTACTGAATAGCTAGGATTACAGATGCACGCCACAGCATGCAACTCATATTTTTATTTTTTTTGTAGAAAGGGAGGTCTCCCTTTGTTGCCCAGGCTGATCTTGAATTTCTAGGCTCAAGCGGTCCTCCTGCCTCAGCATCCCAAAGCACTGGGATTGCAGGTGTGAGCCACTGTGCCCGGCCAGAATCTGCACTTTAACAAGATCCTCAGGAGACGAACATTTGCATTAAATGTTGAGAAACATTGATCTTTGAGCAAACTTTGGGAAACACTGAACACGTCTGATCAGTGAATGTGGCTCTGAGAAATAATGTGCCTTGTCTAAGTTCCCTAATCAATCAGTAGATCTGGGATTAGAATCCAAGTGTCACAAGTCCTAGTCATATTAACTTTCCAGCACACCATGGGTGTCTCCCTCATCTAGGAAACAAGGAGGCCTGGTTTGATAATTGTTAGAGAAGGAAATTAGCATGTGATGAGGGTAGCCACATGAGTTATCATCCAAACATAGTCACTTTTTTTGTTTTATTTTATTTTAATTATAAAATAATTTTATTTACTAGAGACAGGGTCTCACTATATTGCTCAGGCTAGTCTCAAACACCTGGGCTCAAGCGATCCACCTGTCTTGACCTCCTAAAGTGCTGGGATTACAGGCATGAGCCACTGCACCCGGCCTAAACATAGTCACTTTTGATAGTGCAAGAGGGCACCATTAGCTATTTCAGGACAATAAATGCAACCTGACATAAGTTGTCACTCTATATACCTAAAGATATTTGTAATTTACAGGACCCCTCATATTTATTAACTAAACTGCATATATATCTGATGGCAAAATAATTTTAAAGTTCTAACTTTTATTTATGTATTTATATTTATTCATTTATTTTTGAGACAGGATCTCACTCTGTCGCCCAGGCTGGAGTGCACTGGCACGATTTTGGCTCACATGGTCTCTGCCCCCCAGGCTCAAGTGAGTCTCCTGCCTTAGCCTCCCAAGTAGCTGGAATTACAGGCACGCGCCACTACTGCCCAGCTAATTTTTGTATTTTCAGTAGAGATGGGTTTCACCATGTTGGCTAGGCTGGTCTTGACCGCAAATGATCCACCTGCTTCAGCCTCCCAAGGTGCTGAGATTACAGGCTTGAGCCACCGTGCCCGACCTAAAGTTCTAACTTTCAAAAAAAACCCTGATTCTCAAGGAAAAATAATACATGCATCTCATTATAATAAAAAAATAACTATCTAACCTCATTAAGAATCAAAGAAGCTGGGCGCGGTGGCTCAAGCCTATAATCCCAGCACTTTGGGAGGCCGAGGCGGGTGGATCACAAGGTCAGGAGATCGAGACCGTCCTGGCTAACAGCATGAAACCCCGTCTCTACTAAAAATACAAAAATTAGCTGGGCCTGTAGTCCCAGCTACTTGGGAGGCTGAGGCAGAAGAATGCCATGAACCCGGGAGGTGGAGCTTGCAGTGAGCTGAGATCATGCCACTGCGCTCTAGCCTGGGCTGCAGAGCGAGACTCCATTTAAAAAAAAAAAAAAAAAAAAAAAAAAAAAAAGAGACAGAAAGCCCAAATTAGCAAAATAAGAGAATATGGGAACCAATCACAGAAACACACGAAGTTGAAATGATTTTGAAATTGCTTTGCTGAACCGATTCAACTAAATTTGAAAACCTGGTTTCCACGTTGTCATTCACTGTGGCCGTGGCCAAACTAGGGCTGGAAGCTACATCTCAGGGCTTTCTGCCTAGACATTTCCCTGTGAGTCAACCAGACTTCAGAGTCTCATTTCTGAAACTTTTATTCCAGTACTCTAACCTGGAGCTAAGATGTCTCGGTAGCTTGGTGGAAACGTGGCTCTTCCATAGGAATGAGACGCAGATGATCTGAAGACATATCTTCTGAGCATACCTCTTATAACAAATGCCCACATGCCTCCATCTGACATCAGCTTTGTCTGCCATGCTCAGGCCACCTGGCTCTAGAAATAAAAGATGGGAACGTCCCTGATCCTGAATGTTAAACCTGGAAAATCTCCTCCTGCCGGAGATGTAGCTAGCATTCCATATTTAAACTATCTTTAAAGATTTTAATGTTGATAATACTAACAACAACTGGTATTTATTGATTCTTTGCTCTTTTGTCCCTTGTCATTGCACCATCCTCATTTTACAGAAATCAAAGCACAGAGGGGTTAAGTAACTTGCCCAAAGTCACACAGAGGGTAAGTAACAGAGTTGATATTTTACCCCAAGTAATCTGATTCCAGAGATTATACTTTACCTCCAGTTACAACTCCAACAGTTTTCATAATATTTTGAGAACTCTGAGAATTATTTTCAGAATGTTATATATATATATATATATATATATCAGTATATCAGACTATGTATATAATGGAACCACTACGCCTAGTAAATTTTTTTTTTTTTTTAGAGTCCCAAGAGACATAAGAGAGAAACTATTGGTTATTGGACATTCACCAAGTGTCAGTCATAGTTCTAAGTGCTTGTACATGAATCAGCTCAGTAATCTTAAAACCAAAACCAGAACCAAACAAACCGCTGCCCGCCCCCTGGAGAGGGTGCAGTGATTCTCACTTATCGGATGAGACAAAGGAAGGCCAGAGAGCTTCCATAACTTGCTTGAGATCCTATAGCTAGATGGCAAATCCAGGGCTCAGAGCCAGCCCATCTGGCCCGTGAGCAGCATTCTTCGCTACCAAGCACACCCCACTGCCAGTCCTTAACCCAGATATTTATTCAGTCCTCACAGCACATGAGTCATTTCCTAACCACTTGCTTTTCTTGTGTTAGCTGGGGAAACTGATGCTGACAAACTTTAAATATTAGGTTGGTGCAAAAGTAATTGTGGCTTGCCATTTTAATGGCAAAAACCGAATAATTTGCTTAGTGCCATTCAATGATTTGGGGGCTGGCTAGCCAGGGAGCCAAAGCGTGTTACATCTGTTTTCACTTCCCCAGTCGTTAGTGGTGCAGTCTAAGGCTCGCCCTCTGCCACAGATCCTCCTCTCCCTCCTCGCGACAGCTCCTCCTCCTCCTCTACCTCCTCCTCCACCTTCTCTCCCTCCTCCTCCTCTCCCTCCTCCTTCTCCCCGGCCCCTCCACCCCCGCCCCGGGGCCCTACCCTGCGGGTCTCACCTGCCGCTCGGCGGGGTCCCGGCGGGGGCCGGACAGCGCCCTCTGGCGGCAGGTGGGCGCCGGCGCAGCGCATGCTAATAAGCCCGCGGCGCCGCTCGCGGATTGGCTGGCGCGGATTCCAGCTGCTTTCCAAGTTGGAGGCGCCTAGTTGGGGTCGGGGGTCCCGGCCCACGCCCTCCCTGCCCAGCCGCCTCCCCGTCGACCACCCAGGGCTGGAGCGAGCCAGGCTGCCTTTCGAACTTGGGGGGCTTCTCCTCTTGTCTCCCACTGGTGCTTTGGCTGTGAATCCATCCAGGGGCCGGAATGAAAATCCGATACCAAGGCCTGCAGTACAGGCCGAGGATGGCTTTTCTCCAAAAGGTAACCCTGGTCCCTTACCTGGGCCCTGGGAAGTGGGCGGGGACCACATCTGGGAAGCGTACGAGGACACGTGGGGCAGGAGTGGAGGGCACCCCTTTGGGTCGTTTTGTGCAACTCGATTTCATTAAGTGACTGGTGTGAGTTGTGAAAAAGACAATTCCATTTAGGTTTGCAAGCTGCGTCCTGGGCCTGGAGACCAAGACAGAGATCCACGGACTGCAGTGCAGGCGGCCCGCCCCAGCTCTGAGTCACATAAGGTAACCCAGACAGCCTCCTACGAATTTAAAGCTCCTATAAGTTGCCCTTTTTGGATCTAAAGTGTGATATTTGAAAGTTAAAAACGTATCTTACACACATAGATCTTAAAAGCGTATCTTACACCACAACCTACTCACAGATGCAAAGGCAGTGGTCATGGTCTTCCATTGCTTGGGGTCCTGGGGCTAGGTTTGAGGTTGAATGTCAGGGTTTCCTTTGCTATAACCTCATTCTGCACCACGTGCTCTCTGTCAGCCAGGCAGCCAATGTGGACTTGGAGGCTGGCACCTGCTGGGCACTGCTCGAGGTACCAGGAACACAGTGATGAGCAAAATGAGCATGGCTCCTGCCCTCAAAGTCCCTTGAGGCTAAGTGGCCCACCCAAGGGCAGCTTAACAGTGCCCAGCCTTGGGGGATGTGGGCTGATGGAGGACTGGGCCCACCACAAGGTACCTTAGGGTGCCCCCAGTCAAATATATCTACTTTTTTTTTTTTTTGAAACAGAGTCTCACTCTGTCACCCAGGCTGGAGTGCAGTGGTGCGATCTTGGCTCACTGCAACTTCCACCTCCCAGGTTCAAGCGATTCTCCTGCCTCAGCCTCCTGAGTAGCTGGGATTACAGGTGTGCACCACCACACCTGGCTAATTTTTGTATTTTTAGTAGGGCGGGGTTTCACTGTGTTGGCCAGGCTGATCTCAAACTCCTGACCTCAAGTGATCCGCCCCCGTCGGCCTCCCAAAGTGCTAGGATTACAGGCATGAGTCACTGCACCTGGCCAAATATATCTACCTTCTAGAGGAGCGAAGTTCCCTCAGCCAGCCAATGGCAGAGCTGCAGGTGAATGACATCAGACGGTGTCGACATCCCACCCAGCATCAGGGACTTACACGGGAAGTGCCTGAGCCTCTCTGCTCAGGGGGTTTTCTCTGGTTGTAGGAACATGACTGCCACACGTGGCCAGAGTACCAGGGAGTGGATGCCCCCTGGATCAACCTGCAAATGATAGTGAAAAATAGTTGCTTGATAAAAAGTACCAAGCTTCCTCCCCACCCCCCCGGGGTGGGGGGTGCTCTTCTGAGGGTGTTCTACGTTGTTTCTCCCAGAGGCTCCCAGTAGGGCAGAACTCAGGTGGCCCACAGGGGTTGCTGCTCGCGAATGAGCCCTGCGTTGCCCACCTTACTTGCCCCGTCCCACCTCCCCAGGCACCAGCTGCTTTCGGGGATCAATCTTCCCACCCATGCGAAAGGGTAGTTCAACTATTATCTCCATTTTACAGGTAAGGAAACTGAGGCTGGTAAGGACTAACACTGGAAGAACTGTTGACATGATACAGAAAAACTGGTCTCACTACAATTGTAGAAACATCATTATTTATTTTATTATTATTATTACTATTGTTATTTGAGGCAAAGTCTGACTCTGTTGCCCAGGCTAGAGTGCAGTGGCGTGATTTCGGCTCACTGCAGCCTTGACCTCCTGGGCTCCAGTGATTCTCCCTTCTCAGCCTCCCAAGTAACTGGGACTACAGGCAGGCACAACCATGCCTGGCTCATTTTTCTTTTTTTTTTGTATTTTTAATAGAGATGGGATTTTGCCATGTTGCCCAGGCTGGCCTCAAACTCCTGAACTCATGTGATCTGCCTGCCTTGGCCTCCCAAAGTGCTGCGATTACAGGCATGAGTCACTGTGCCCAGCCAGGAGAAACATAAAATTAAGACTGTGGTGAGAGGGAGCTTCCAATTCTACATGAAGAGTCGGGGTAGTCATCTATAAAGAGAGAGCCTTGAAGCTTGGAGGATCCTGAGGCTTCCGCTGGGCAGAGGAAGGAAGACCGTGGCTGCAGAAGCAGCCCCTGCTGAAGCACAGCGATGTATGAGTCTGGCGTGTCTGAGGGCACGCTGATTGCTGTTCGCTGAGCATAGAGTACAAGGGGAGTGTGAGGTGGGACAGGCAGGCAGGGATGGAAAGGAAAGGTCTATGCCTTACAAAGGTGGTGCTATTTTTCCCCAAAGAGCAGGTGAGTGAAGTGGCCAGATTTACATTCAAACGAGGACTCTAATATAAGCCAGAGGAATGGATGGGATATATTTCCTTCCCTGAGCCAAGAGAATTCACGCAGTGTCTTTCTGTGCTGTCTGCGACTCCAGTCACCTAGGAATGACAGCTTTCCATGGGGTCAGAGGGAGTGGTGCTGGTCAGAAGGCCCTTCTCCTGTGATTGTCGAGGCTTTCACACCTATCTCTCCTGTGATGTCCCACCCTCAATGCAGCCTTGTGTAGGTATGTCTACCAGCCAAGCTGATGCCAACCAGCCAAGCTGATGCCCACCTCTGATGCCTGGACTTGTTTAAAATGTGGTGGAGGCTGGGCATGGTGGATCATGCCTATAATTCCAGCACTTTGGAAGGCTGAGGCAGGAGGATGGCTGGAGCCCAGCAGTTTGAGGCCAGCCTGGGCAACAGAGTGAGACACTGTCTCTACAAAAAACAAACAAAACAAAACAAAAAAATTAGCCAGGTTTGGTGGTGCACACCCATAGTCCCAGGTACTCGAGAAGCTGAGGTTGGAGGATCGCTTGAGTCTAGGAGGTCCCGGCTGCAGTGAGCTGTGATTGCACCATTGCACTCCAGTCTGGGTGAAATAGTGAAACACTGTCTCAAAAATACATACGTAGATTTTTTTTTTTTTTTTTTTTTTAATGTGTAGAAGGAGATGAAGAATTCCCCTGTCCAGCGGCTCTGCCTGGGGGTGTTAGCTGGTGACACATAGTGAACTAAACAGCAGGGCTGGGCAACCTGCTGTGGCCTCCAGCACATGCAGGGCTCTTGTTTCAGCCTAGCCTCTCATTTCCTGTGTTCCCGCAGCCCTGACCACCTGGGGCGAGGTGGAAACATTTCCATCTGGACTTCTAAAATGCTTTCCTATTTGACTTAAGGAAAACTTGGGGATGTGCGGGTGTTCTTGCAGCAGATGGGGTTCCAGGAAGAGAGTTGAACTTAGATGAGGGCTACAGGAAGGAAGGGTCTTAATAAGGCTTGGGTGGAATTTAGAATTGCTTGTATCATTGGTTCATTCCTCCATGTAACGGACATTTATTGGGCATCTACTATGTGTCAGGTATAGTTAGGCACTGTAATAACACAGACTTCAGGACCTTCAGGACACAGTCCCTGTTCTCAAGTGACTTGTAGTCTAGTGGTAGGAGATGGCCACATGTATCAACTCAGTGGCATGGCGCAGGTGCCATGCAGACAGCTGGAGGGTAAAGAGGGTGCTTAAGTGTGGGCCTTTACTTTATCCTGGGTGGAATGTCAAGAAAGCGTTCTGAAAGATATGGTGGTGATTTCTCTGGGTCTTCAGGATGTGAGGCTGTTCTTAGGGCAGATAGGGTGCCAGGAAGAGGGTTGGGACAAAGGTAGAAGAGGAACGTGAACTTGACTTGGATCTATTGTGTGTCAGCTGTTGGTCAGAGCCAGATGGTGATGTCCAGTAGGCAATTATGTGTCTGGAGGCAGGGCCTGAAAAACCTGGGAGACACATTAAACGGGTCATTGAGAATGTAATAGAGATGAGAGACGTTTCTGAGGCTGGGTACAGTTAACAGGGCATATTAGACTTGGGCATTTGGACTGTGGCTGGCAGTGCTATAGTTGGGATGTGAGTTGCCTACTAAAAAAAAGAGCACAATGGTTTGGGGTCACTATTTACATCGCTGCACAGCAAACACATAATTACGATTGTCTTCCAGGAAGCCTGCTCTGGATTACAGGAAAGTTCTAGTCCCCGAAATCTTGTAGAGCGTGACGCCCACTTACTATGAGAAGAAATTGTGACTATGGGATGGATGGAATATTGAGACTATCACTTTCTGATACTTTTAGTGACTGTCTGAGTTCTTTAAAATGTTCAATGTCATACCTCACTCAGCTGGAATCTGAGAGGGGCAATGCTAGGCCTGTGATGAGGTCAGAGAGAGTCCAATGATGACGCTTTTTTTTTTTTTTTTTTTTTCCGACGGAGTGAAGCGGTGCGATCTCGGCTCACTGCAACCTCCGCCCCTGGGTTCAAGCGATTCTCCTGCCTCAGCCTCCTGAGTAGCTGAGATTACAGGTAACTGCCACCACACCTGGCTAATTTTTATATTATTAGTAGAGACAGGGTTTTGCCATGTTGGCCAGGCTGGTCTCGAATGCCTGACCTCAGGTGATCCACCCGCTTTGGCCTCCCAAAGTGCTACGATTATAGATGTGAGCCACTGTGCCTGGCCCAGTGATGACCCTTTTGTGCAGCATTTGTTTGAGGCCTCAGGAAATAGTTGTGGAGAAGTCAGGATTCTGGGAGAACTGGGCAGCTGTGGTCTGGTCAACGGTGGTGGGGTGGGGTGGGGAGGTGACGGTATGGGGAAGGACCGGGGGTCTTCAATGTATCTCATGAAAGGAGATAGCTCAGAAGGGATGCACGCTGGACAGAAGAAGGGCTGGCCTGGAGAAAGGCCACAGCTGCACCCTTCCTGGGGAGCTTGAATATCAAGGTGGGTTTTCTCCCGTCGTGAGTGGACACCAAGATCACCTCTTGAAGACCATTCCGGACCCAAGGAGTCAGTCATATTTTTTGTAGTTTAGACTTATTACAATTTCAAAAGGAATCCCTTAAGTGAATTTGCATGGGAAATGGTTGGAGGAAGATTATTCTGTCCCCTCACGGGAAGACTCCTAAAAATGTTCACGACACAGACTCCCCTCTTCCCAGCAAATCCCTCCTTTGTGTAAAGAGACGTCATCGCTGGAAAGCCCCTCTTGATTGTGCTTTTAGAAATAACTCCTGTTAATCTTCTTTGAGGGGTAGTTGCAAATTCTTCAGAGATTGATTTTTTTTTTTTTTAAACACAAAGGGAAAGAAATAGAGTGACTGCCATTTTTATCAGAGAAGTTTAAATTTCTAACTGGCAAAGTAGGTACAACTCCACCATCCGCCATTTAGCTGCCTCTGCCTCACTACTAAGGAGATGGTTATTTCACCTGATGAAGTACTGTATTTATAATCTGAAAAGTTATGACTGAAAGGACGAGGATGCTTTAAGCCTTGTCATCAGAAACTAGCATAACAGAGAGAGAGAGAGAGAGAGAGAGAGAGTGTGTGTGTGTGTGTGTGTGTGTGTGTGTGTGTTGGGGAGGAGGGGACCGTTGACTGCTGCTGAAAAGAATCACTCCAGCAGCCTTGGCTCCTCAGTCCCCTGGCCATCCCAGGAAGAGCAGGACCACCTCTCAGCATCCCCCAATACAGTCGGGGGTTGTGCCTTTGCTCCCCTCTCTGCTGTTGGCCTCATGGCTGACCCAGTGGCCAGAAACACTGCCAAGCCCTGACACTGCAGAAAGCCAAGGACTGTGGCTCCAAATCAAGCTGAAATGAATAGCTTTTGTTCCAAAACAATTCTGTGAGCCAAGAAAGTGTCCATGCAGATAAAGCTTGCAGTCAGTCTTGCACAAGGAGCCCCAGCCGTGTTTTGCATGCTGTCTGAGTGGCTGGCGCTGTGCCCGGAATGCTGAGTGGTAAGGCTCTCCTCAGAGCCTTCCCTGTGCACCTGATCTTGGCCCGTTTCTTGAGATTGTGGTTCAGCTGCAAATGCTTGTTTAGCAACAGAGATTGAAATAGGAAATCCCTTTCCTTAGTATTGGCATAAGACATTGTTCCATACTCTTTCCCTCCTTGGGAAGATTGGAGCCTTCTAGCTTCAGGAGCAGGCTGGCTGAGAGGGAGGGGGCAATTAGGATTTTTCTGATTCAGCTCTCTTCTGATATATCCAGGTTAGTCTACACCTCCTTCCTATCTACCTGGCCATATCATGGGCTCCTTCCCAAGTTCACTTTCTCTAGGAAGCATTTATTGACCATCTGTCTTAGTCCATTTTCTGTTGCTATAACAGAGTGTTTAAGATGGGCTAATTTAAAAAGAAAAGAAGCTTATTTGGTTCACAGTTATGGAGGCTGGGAAGACCAAGGGCATGGTGACAGCTTCTGGTAAGAATTTCTTTTTTCTTTGAGACGGAGTCTCGCTCTGTCACCCAGGTGTGCAGTGGCCCGATTTTGGCTCACTGCAAGCTCCGCCTACCGGGTTCACGCCATTGTCCTGCCTCAGCCTCCCTAGTAGCTGGGACTACAGGCACCTGCCACCATGCCTGGCTAATTTTTTGTATTTTTAGTAGAGATGGGGTTTCACCGTGTTAGCCAGGATGGTCTCAATCTCCTGACCTCGTGATCCACCCGCCTCGGCCTCCCAAAGTGCTGGGATTAGAGGCGTGAGCCACTGCGCCCGGCCCCTGGTAAGGGATTCCATACTGCATTATAACACGGCAGAAATGTGGAAGGGCAAGAGAGTGCATGCCAAAGAGACCTCAGGGCACTAACTCAGTTCCTTGAAAATGATCTCTCTCACAAACAGCATTAATCCATTTATGAGGCTCTACCCTTATTACCTAATTCCCTTTTAAAAGGCCCCACCTCTCAATACTGTTACATTAGTGACTAAGTTTCCAACACATGGACTTTTGGGGAACACACTCAAACCCATAGACGCAGCCTGTGATCACAGTCCCTTTTCAGCTCCTGTGCAATTAGGATCTGTATGATTCACATGAGACGCACTTTTATTCTGTGCTGTGCATTGATCATCTCTGTCTGTATACTTTATCACCCCAGCTCCCAGAGGACAACGAGTATGCCGTTTATTTGTAGCAGTCATACCACTGGATCCATAAAAAGTATTCAATTAAATCTCTCTCTTTGCATTAGGTTGTCTAGCTGAGTTTTTCTTATGTGTCTTTACTGACTGGTCCCTAGAAGGCATATTGTGACAACGATAACTTCTATCACTAACACTCTCACCCTATTGTCACTGTTCCTATATTGCCCATAGGGATTATACAACTATTTCACACTCATTATTTTCATTTGATCCCAACCACCCGTTTAAATAGATGGAGCAGATATTAGATGTTTTTTTCCCTAGTGGATGAAAATACTAAGGTTCAGAGAGGTCAATTAACTGGCCCAGTGTCACACAGCTGACATGATCTATTTTTCAATTTCACGGAGGCTAGAAAAACCAGTGATCTCATTCAGAGGACGGCTACGTGCATATATGTTAAAAGGACTTTGTGAACTGAGGGCTCATACAATGCTGCATAGAATTATGATTAATGGCAGAAAAATAGCTACTGCAAGATTGAAACAGTTCAATGAAGACAGAGCAGTATGTATGGATGGCTCTGGATTTTATTGATAGGAGCCAAAGAGTTGATTGCATTTGAGGGGCCCTCCGGGTGCAGATGTGTAGCAGGCAGCGGGAGGTGACTCTGAGGAGGGTGGCAAGGACAGAGTAAATGGGTGAGGAATGACCTTCATTCTTACTGTAGGTCTCCTGTATACCCTGATATTTCCTATCTCCATTCCTTTGCTTCTCTTGTACCCTCATCTTGGGATGCCTCTCCTCACACCAGAGCTTGAGGCTGTATTTCCAGTTGTCTCCTACACATTTCTGTGTATGTGTTCCAGAGCACATCACAAACAAGTTTTTCTCTTTCAAAACAGGCTGCTTTCTTTTGTGTTTCCTATTTTAGATACTGACTACCACTATTGGCTTGGCAGAGGGGTAGGAAATCTTAGAATCATATTCTCTTGCCTTCACCAAATTGTATATATTATCAACTAAGTTTCAAGCACACAAACTTTTGGGGGTCACATTCAAACCACAGGACCATCCCATGATTGCTGTCCCTTTTGAGCTCCTGTGCAATTAGGATTGCAGTGTCTAAGTACACGAGACTCATCTATAGTGCTTCTAGTGACCATATTCTCTTACTTTTCCTCATTGCCTCTGCCTGAACTACGCTCTCTCCTGCATGATTATTTCCCGCTGATACAGAAAGGTTTACTCCTCCTTTTTCTCTGCTTGGCCATACCATGGGTTCCCTTCCAAGTTCACTTCCTCTAGGAAGTATTTGTTTTTGTTTTTTTTTTGAGACGGAGTCTCGCTCTGTCGCCCAGACTGGAGCGCAGTGGCCGGATCTCAGCTCACTGCAAGCTCCGCCTCCCGGGTTTACGCCATTCTCCTGCCTCAGCCTCCCGAGTAGCTGGGACTACAGGCGCCCGCCACCTCGCCCGGCTAGTTTTTTGTATTTTTTTTTAGTAGAGATGGGGTTTCACCGTGTTAGCCAGGATGGTCTTGATCTCCTGACCTCGTGATTCGCCCGTCTCAGCCTCCCAAAGTGCTGGGATTACAGGCTTGAGCCACCACGCCCGGCCAGGAAGTATTTCTTTATCATCTGTCTTAGTCCATTTTCTGTTGCTCCAGCAGAATACCTGAGACTGGGTAATTTACGAGGAAAAGAAGCTTATTTGGCTCACAATTATGGAGGCTGGGAAGTCCAAGGGCATGGCTATAACCAGCTCATTGGTCTTTCATCTCTGCATGCCCTCCTTTTTTGCATCTATAATTTTGCACATCTAAAACCATCTATAATTTTGCAGAACAAGGCAAACTCTGCTGCTCCTCCATGAGAGCTTCCATTTGTCTATGAATGGCATTGAAGACCTGCTGTGTCCTGGATCTATTTGCTCTCCCCTGCATACCATGCAGTTTTACCCTTTCGTGCCTTTGCACGTGCTTGTTCCTCAGCCTGAAATGCTCCTTTTCTCTGGAGCAGAAGCAGCAACTTCTTGCCAAATAGCCTATGTTCTCTGAGTTAGAATGAATGGGCCATGAGCAGAAGTGTTGTGTGGGTTTTCAGGCCGAAGCCTTGAAGGGCAAGTACCAATTCTCCATGTTTTTCTCTCTTCCCCTGCGCAGTGATGGAGCACATGTGATGGAATGAGAAAGTCTAAATGGTAGCGGCCTAGAGAGCTGAGTCAAGACATCAAGGGAGGGCCCTGGACACTGCCCAACTTGACTTAGCATTTTCTTTTCTTTTCTTTTCTTTTCTTTTCTTTTCATTTTTTTGAGACAGAGTCTTGCTCTGTCGCCCAGGCTGGAGTGCAGTGGCATGATCTTGGCTCACTACAAGCTCCGCCTCCCAGGTTCATGCCATTCTCCTGCCTCAGCCTCCCGAGTAGCTGGGACTACAGGTGCCCGCCACCACGCCCGGCTAATTTTTTGTATTTTTAGTAGAGACGGGGTTTTCACCATGTTAGCCAGGATGGTCTCGATCTCCTGACCTCATGATCCACCTGCCTCGGCCTCCCAAAGTGCTGGGATTACAGGCGTGAGCCACCACGCCTGGCCGACTTATCGTTTTCTTAAGAGAGAGAAACCCTTGTTGGGTTAAACCTGTGTTACCACAGCATAATCTAAATTATCCTGAGTAATGCATTCTTATTTTCTGCCAGTTAAAAATCTTTATCTTTTAAGTATCAGCTTAAATACTCTTTCTTTAAAAGCCTTCCAGAACCAACCCACCCCTAGCCAGAACTGATGTCTTTTCTTTATGCTTTCACAGCCTGTGTAACTTACATCTATTTGACACTTAATGAATGGTATTGTGGTCGGTCATGTAGAGTTAGTGACACAATGAGTAAGAGTATGAATTCCAAAGCCAGACTGACTGGTTCACATATCAGCTCTGTCATTTACCAGCAGTGGGACTTTCGATGAGTTACTTAGACTTCCAGAACTTAGGTTCACATTTGTCTTTCCAGAACCTACCAGAGTGTCTGACACAATAATTATATTAAATATGTCAATGATGATGTTAAACAATACCTCCTTCTTTTTTGTCTTGCAGGTTGAACCATCAGTATAAAACATGCAGAACCAAAGATAGTGACCAAAATCCAAAGCCAGAGGGTCCCGGAAATCAGAAGGTCTTACAGCATAACAGGTAGTGCAGGCCGTGGCTCAGGCTAGGCATGGAAGAGACTGCAGTTCTCTCCTACAAATCAATCTAGACTGGACGGACAGAACTCCAAAGGAGGAAAGAAAACTGAATCTGATGTTACTTCTTGAAACCACATTTTCTGAAGTCACCATTTTTATGTATCTATCAACTCATCATTTTTATGTATATATCAATATGATTTTATGATCTTATTTTTTCCTACTAATGTGATGAATTCCCTTGATTGATTTTAGAATATTAAACACTTTTGTATTCCTGGAATAAATCCTAGATGGATGCTTGATTTTTTCTAATTCCTTAGCAAAAATGCTAATATTTTATTTAGGATTTTGCATCTATATTCACAAGTGAGAGTTTTTTTCCTCTCCTGACACCAACCAATTCTCCAACACAAACTGAGTGTCCTACAATTCAATTCAATTCTGACACTAACTACCCAGAGTTAGCATTAGCCTCCACAGATTTAAGGCCTCAGTCGCACAAGATTGTCCTAATCAGACCCCAGTTGCAAGTCCCGGGCCACCCATACTTCTGGGCAACTGGTTATAATTTGGGGGTTCTTATGACCACCTCCCACAGGCTTGACAATTTGCTAGAATGATTAGTGAAATGCAAGAAAGTGCTTAATTAATATTACTGGTTTATTACAAAGGATACAATTCAGGAAGAGCCAAATGGAAGCGATGCATGGAGCAAGGCAAGGGAGAATGAGCCCAGAGCTTTCCTGCCCTCTTCGGGCACGCCACTCTCCCAGCACTTTGGTGTGTTCAGCAACCTGGAAGCTCTCTGAACCCCATCATTTAGAGGTTTTAATGGAAGTTTCATTACATAGGCATGATTTTTTTTTTTGAGATGGAGTCTTACTCTGTTACCCAGGCTGGAGTGCAGTGGCACCATCTCGGCTCACTGCAACCTCCACCTCCTGGGTTCAAGCGATTCTCCTGCCTCAGCCTCCCGAGTAGTTGAGACTACAGGTGGACACCACCATGCCCAGATAATTGTTGCATCTTTAGTAGAGATGGGGTTTCACCATGTTGGCCAGGCTGGTCTTGAATTCCTGACCTCAAGTGATCCGCCTGCCTTGGCTTCCCAAAGTGCTGGGATTATAGGCATGAGCTCTACATAGCCATGATTGATTGAATCATTGAACATTGGTGATTACTTCAGTCTCCAGCCCCTTGTCCCTCTCCCCTCCCCAGAAGTCAGTGGGTGGGGATAAAAGTTCCAACCCTCTAATCATGCCTAGTTCTCCTTTTTTTTGTTTTTTGGTTTTTTTAAAAATTATTTATTTTTCTTGGCATGCAAAATAAGAGCTATTGTCTAGGTCTTTCTGGTGACCCCTTCATCCCGAACTAACTAGAAGCCTCCAGCCACTAGTCATTTCATTAGTATACAAAAGACACTCTTGCCACTGTGGAGATTACAGGAGTTTTGGGAGCCATGTGCAGGGAACCAGGAACAAAACCCAAATATTTATTTTTTCTCATCCCACAATGATTGACATTGGTCTGTAATTTTTTTTTCTTGTAATATCCTAGTCCAGTTTTTCTATCAGGTTATGGCCATATAAAAGGAGTTGGGAATTATACTCTGTTTTTCTATTCTTTGGTAGAGTTTGTGCAAGTTTATGCAAGATTGCTATTATTCTTTTTATTTTTTAAAGACAGGGTCTCACTCTGTCACCCAGACTGGAGTGGCAGTGATGCCATCACAGCTCATTCACTATAACCTTGAACTCCTGGGCTCAAGCAATCCTCCCACCTAAGCCTCCTAAATACCTGGGACTCAGGTGCATGCTGCCATGCTCTGCTAATTTTTAAATTTTTTATAGAGGCAGTGCCTCACTATATTGTCCAGGCTGCTCTTGAACTCCTAGACTCAAGTGATTCTCCTACCTCAGCCTCCCAAAGTGCTGGAAGTATAGGTGTGAGCCACCACGCACAGCCCATGATATTATTCTTTAAATATTTGGAATAATTAACTGATGAAGTCATCTCCGGTTTGGAATTTTCTTTGTGAGCAGCTCTTGAATAGATTCCATTTTATTTATTAGATATTGACTATTCAGATTTTATTTTTTTATGTGGGCTTTGGAAAGTTATATTTTTCAAGGAATTTGTCTATTCTATCCAAGTTGTCAATATTTGGGTGTGAAGACAATAATATTCTCTTATCTTTGTTATATTTGTGGGATCTGTACTGATATTCCTTTCTAATATTGAAAATTTGTCTTTCTTGTTTCTGTTGATCAGTATTGTTTGGAGTCTATCAATATAAACAATATTTTCAAATAACCAACTTTTGATTTGGTTGATTTTTCTCCATTGTATATGTGTTTTCTATTTCTTTTCTTTCTTTCCTTTTTTTTTTTTTTTGAGATGGAGTCTTGTTCTGTTGCCCAGGCTGGAGTGCAGTGGCATGATCTCGGCTCACTGCAAGCTCTGCCTCCTGGGTTCACGCCATTCTCCAGCCTCAGCCTCCTGAATAGCTGGGATTATAGGCGCCCGCCACCATGCCCAGCTAATTTTTTTGTATTTTTAGTAGAGACGGGGTTTCACCGTGTTAGCCAGGATGGTCTCGATCTCCTGACCTCGTGATCCGCCCGCCTCAGCTTCCCAAAGTGCTGGGATTATAGGCGTGAGCCACTGCACCCGGCAGATTTGTTTTCTATTTCACTGATTTATAATCTTTATTACTTACTTCTATTTTCCTTAGATATAACTGACTGTTCTTTTGTTCTTAAACTAAAAAAATAAATCATTGACTTTCAGCCTTTCCATTTTTCTAATATATAAATTTTTAAGGTTACAAATAGTTCTCTAGTCCCTACATTACCTGCATCCTATGAGTTTTTAGAAGTTACGTCTTTTATGGGGTCACATTCAGTTCAAAATATTTGCTAATATCTGTCTGGATTTCTTCTTTAATCTATGAGTTATTTAGAAATTTCCAGGCCGTGGATATTATCTTTTTATTATTGACTTCTGACTTAATTTCATTCTGGTCAAACAACATTCTCTGAATGATTTCAATGTTTTGAAATTTGTTGAGGCTTTCTTTATTGCCCATCATATGATCAATTTTAATACGTTTCATGTACACTTAAAAAGTAAATTCACACATGCCTGTAATCCCAGCTACTTGGGAGGTTGAGGCATGAGAATTGCTTGAACCTGAGAGGTGGAGGTTGCAGTGAGCCAAGATTGAACCACTGCACTCCAGCCTGGGCAACAAAAGCAACTACTCCATCTTAAATAAATAAATAAATAAATAAATAAATAAATAAAATTCTATCATTACGGGTACGGAATTTGATATATATATAACAACTAAGTCAAGTCTGTTAGTTGTGTCATTTAAATCTTCTAGATCCTTACTGCTCTATTTTCTTGTTCTATAAGTTACTGAGAAATGTATGTTACAGTCTTCCACTATGATTGTGGATTTGTCACTTTCTTCTTTGAGTTGCTTAATTTTTGCTATATGTATTCTGAAGTTATAAGTACGTATAGATTTGTGACTTGATATCTACTAGTTGGATTGACTCATTATAATATGTACCTTTTAATTTGTAGTAATGCTTTTTGCTTCAAAATCTTACTTCATACTGCTATAGATATGCCTGGTTTCTTTTGTTACACTTTTATAGTCTATCTTTCCTTTTCCTTTTTCTTTAATCATCTATCTCCATGTATTTAAAGTGTCTCTCTTAGAAGTTACATATAGTTAGGTTTTGTGTTTTTTATTCAGTATGATAATCTTAGTTTTTTTTTTTTTTTTTTTTTTTAGACGGAGTCTCGCTCTGTCGCCCAGGCTGGAGTGCAGTGGCGTGATCTTGGCTCACTGCAACATCTGACTCCCTGGTTCAGGTGATTCTCCTGCTTCAGCCTCCCGAGTAACTGGGATTACAGGCACGCACCACCACACCCAGCTAATTTTTGTATTTTTAGTAGAGATGAGGTTTCACTGTGTTGGCTAGGATGGTCTTGATGTCCTGACTTTGTGATCTGCCCACCTGGGCCTCCCAAAGTGCTAGGATTAGAGACATGAGCCACTGTACCTAGCCAATCTTAGTCTTTTATTTTGACTATTTTGTCTATTTACATAATAGTAAAGTAATTATTGATATAAAGTTGGGTTTATTCTTACTATTTGTTTTCTGCTTGACCATCTGTTTTCTGTTGTTTTTCTTCTTTCCTGCATTCTTTTGGATTAATAAAATATCTTCTATCGTTCTACTCTCTACCTCAAACTTGTTAGTTATACAGTTTTGTTACATGTTCTTTTTCTTTAGCTGTTATCCTAAAGATTAAACAACATGCAATCTTGACTTATTTCTGTGTAATACAAATTATTACTTTTACCAGTTCCCAAAACATTTAAAACTTTAGGAAACTTTAGTTTTATTTATCCCCTTCCTCATTTTGTGTTGTTTAGTTCTACACATATATTTAAATTCCATAAGACATTATAACTATTGGGTTGGCAATACATATTCATTCATAATTACCTATATATTCATCTATTCTGGTATTTTTTCTCTTTTTTGAGAGACAGGGTCTTGCTCTGTCACCAAGGCTGTACTGGTGTGGTAGCACAATCACGGCTCATTGCAGCCTCAATCTCCTGGGCTCAAGCGGTCTTCCCGCCTCGGCCACCTAAGTAGCGGGAACTACAGGCATGCGCCATTATGCCTGGCTAATTTTTAAATTTTTGTAGAGGTGAGGTCTCACTATGTTGCCCAGGCTGGTCTCAAACTCCTGAGCACAAGCAATCCTCCCACTTTGGCATCCCAAAGTTCTGGGATTATAGGTACTCCTGGCCTATATATATATATATATATATTTATACACACACATACACATTTTAATTGAAATATATATATACACATTTTAATTGAAATATGGTATTCACTCAGAAAACATGTACAGATCAATACATTTTCACAAACAGAATGTGGTACATATATTTTAAAACATTAAATTCTGTTTAAAGAAGCAAAATTTTGTATTTTAGGAACACATTACTTACTGTTCAAACAGATGGTTTCCTGAGGAAATGTGTGTGACTTCACACTGTGGGGCTGTCTTTGTCAGCCCTCCCAGATCGCCCCATCTGTGACTTGATTTTTTTTTCTCCTTGTCAAGGTGTCCTCCTCAATTCAGTTCACCTCTGTTTCAGGCCAATCGAGACAGTGTCCTTTTGTCAACCTTCTGGCTTCCTTTGCCCTGAGGGATGGAAGCCTTTCTCCACAACCCCCATCAG